GGCTGGAAGGGGGTGGAGGAGAGAAGGGCTGATGGGGGGGCAGCAGGGAGGAACTGGCCAGTGGGGAGCAGGGCTGGCCCGGGCGCACAAGAACCCAGGGTACTGCCCATCCCGCACACGGTCCCGGCGGGGGGCACAGGTGAGTCCAGCCCCGGGGATTCCATCCCACCCCGGTCCTGCCCCCCCTCCCATGTAGTTGCAGACTGCCTGGCTGGTAGATGTGCTCACGCAGCATGAGCATGTCTACCAGCCAGGCAGTACGCAAGTACATACTGATACTCATGATCAGGACTCGACAAACCATACAGTCTCCTCGCCCATGGCGAGTAGATTTCAGCCGCGTGCCCCGTTCATTCGCGACGCGCGCATGCACAATGCAGCTCTTGCGCATGCGCAGTACGGGGCTGGCGAGCGGTGTTCACTGCTGTTAGTCAAGTCCAGCTCATGATAATAATAAAACATACTTAATTAGAAAATTTGTTTCCCAAAGCTCAAATACCGGACTGCCCAGTTCAAAACCAGATACCTGGCAACCCTAGTGTCCTGCAGGCTACTCAACTTTGGAAGCCCCAGGGGCCACAATGATACTCACACCACATGCCGAGGGCCACAACGTAAGTGTGGTTGCATAGACATACAAATGTACATTGAAATATATGCAAATCGCTTCTTTCACACTGACAGGCATGAATACAAAGATTAAGGCAAGACGACACAACACACAGTCCCCAGTTGAGTCAGTTCTGCTGATATTAATAAAATGCAATAGTTACCCAATTTCCACCCATGACAGCACTTTTAATGAGCAATGACAGTCCAGGAATTTAACTACTAAAATGCATATCAACAGGAGACCATTATATTGACTCTTTTATTTTGGCTCCCACCCGGGGACCGTGTGTTGAGTAGCCCGGGTGTACTGCTTTATATGCGCTACGCTGAAATATAAGTACAACATGAATATCATTTAGGGGTGCGCAAGACAAATCAGATCCTGAAAGGGGTACAAGAGTCTGGAAAAGTTGAGATCCACTGACTTAAACACTAGTGAGAAGTAAAACATAAGGGAGGCAGCCCCCCTAAGTAATAACCCCCCCCACACACACACACCAGAAAATGTCCTTTGTAATTGAAGCCCTAGCTTTGAGCTCCTAAGCCCCTGAGCCGACAGAGGGCACTTTGCCTAAGTTTAGAGAGTCCCCAAACCAAGTGACTGTGATCTGGCATGCAGGGGCCATGGCACCATTCAGGTTTGCACCTCCACGGACGGAGAAGTGAATGAGCCAAGCCAAGTGGTGCTGTGTCTCGTATGCAGCAGGGCCAACAGACTTGCCAGGCCCCTAGGCAAGGTGGAGGGTCTCGGCGCCAGGCTCCTGGAAGGTGCCTCAGGTGCAAGGGGCGGGGCTGGAGAAGCCAGCCCTCACTAGTGTCTGGAGCACATGGTGCTGTCCCCCTCACGCCCACCACCCAGCCAGTTCTTCAAGCCAGAGGCAATTTAAAGGACACAGGACTCCAGCTACTGCCACCCTCGTAGAGAGCCTACGTCCTGTTGAATTGTCAAGTCCTGAGGCTGTTGCCCCTTTTCCCCCTTCACCCCTCCCCTAGGGTTACCAGATGGTTTAAAAAAATATACTGGACACACTTGATCTCAGATCAGTGGGGAGGAGGGGGAGGCTGGGAAGGGGTCGGGGGGAGCAGGACTGGCTAGGGGAGATCGGGGGTAGGGACCAGCCGGCGGGAAGCAGGGCTGGCTGGGAGAGGGTTAGGGGGAGCGGAGCTGACTGTGGGGGGAACTGGCTGGCAGGGGGCGGGGGTGGCTGGGGGGGGGGGGCG